CCTTCTTTCTCCCATGATTTTTCTCTCCAAGGAGTGTATCTATCTCAAGTAAATGTTCAACTCATATGCTTGTCTTTTGTTTGGCTAGAAGCCACAGGTGTGGGTTCAATTCCAGACCTGAAGGGCAGCAAGAGGCCATAGTCTCAGTGGTTCCACCAGGCTCTATCAGACCAGCAAACCTGGTCCCCCCCTTTTTTTTCTCCAAATGATTGTGAGTTTTGTTCCACATTGTTCTCCCTCTCTATCCAGGATCTCCTATATAGATCCCTTTCCAAGTGGTTGACAGTGGTAGCCGGGCACCATCTAGTTCTTCTGGTCTCATAGTCATATAGGCTGCAGATCAGATGGTGTACTAGTTGCTAGAACTAATTGTTTCCATGAATTCTTGGTTTTCTTCATTCTTCTTTGCTTTGGACGAGAAGAGACCTATTGTTGCATCTAGATGGCATCTTACAAGCTTCTAAGATCCCAGTCGCTAATTGCCAAAGTAGGAAGTGGAACAATGTTTTATGTAGTATATTATGCCAATTGAGCTTGATGTTCCCTGTGGCTATGGTTCACCTACTCAGTCCCTCTGGGTAGCTGACTGACCAAGAAGTGACTACAACCTTGCCCCTTGTCAGTTCTGCTATACACCTGGGAATTCAGATCATACAAATAAACTTATAGGACCATTTTCTGCCAACCCTATACATGGTCTTGGGTACACTCCCTATTTCATAGACATACCTACTAGTTCAGCCTGTCCACCCATCTGTCCACCCATATACCCATGCTTTCCTTTGCTGACAATGCAGTACTGTATGTGCAAAAGGGTTCCTCTTTGTTGTCTGTACCCCCCATGTACCTCTCTCTGTCTTTCTCTTCCTCAATGCCACCATGTTGATCATTCACATTAGGTACATTGCCCTTCTCTTCACCCAAATCAATACTTATCTCAACTTATCTAGTAGTGTTCCCTCCCCTCCCCTCCTACCCCTGGTAACCAAAAAAGAAAATTTCCTTCCATAGATAAACATTTCCTTGACTTTTACAATAACGGACTAATGCAATATTTATCCCTTTGTGATTGACTTATTTCACTCAGCATAAAATCCTCCAAGTTCATCCACATTATGAGGTGTTTTGCAGATTCTACATTATTCTTTAGTGTTGCATAGTATTCCAATGTGTGTATGTACGATAGTTTGGTTATCCATTTCTCAGTTGATGGACACCTAGGTTATTTCTATCTTTTGGCTATTGTAAATAGTGCTGCGATGAACATGGGCATGCATATGTCCATTCTTGTCATGGCTCTCACTTCTTTAGGATATTTACCTAGTATTGGAATAGCTGGGTCAAATGGTATTTCTAATTCCAACTTTTTAAGGAATCATCTTACTGCTTTCCACAGTGTTTGTACGATTTTACAGTCCCACCAGCAGTGTAGGAGAGTCCCAATCTCTCCACATCCTCACCAGCATTTATTATTTTGTGTCTTGTTTAACTTTGCTACGAGTGCTGGAACAAGATGGTATCTCATTGTTGCTTTGATTTGCATCTCTCTAATAGCTAATGATCGTGAGCATTTCTTCATGTTTGTTGGCCGCTTGAATATCCTCCTTGGTGAAGTGTCTATTCATGTCTTCTGCCCATTTTTTAATTGGATTTTTGTTACTGAGGTGTT